AGCTGTTATATTTTTTCTGGAGATAATTTTAAAATACGTATTTTTATATAATTTATATTATGTCCTTTATAGTGCATAAATAATATTGTGTCATGCTTTAATTTTTAAAAATTCTATATAATTAGAATTTATAAATTAAAAGTTATTTAAAAATATTTGATATTAAAATTAGAAAAAGAAGTTTAATTTTTGGTTTATTTTTTTTTTTTAATTATTTAAGTATATTATTGTAATATAATATTATATTTATAAAATAATGTTATATAAAAGAAAAAAATATAACATAAAAAAATTAAGGTAATGAAATAATAGAATTTATTTATGTCTTGTGTGAGTTTTTAAAATACTTCTAAAATATTCGGTCAAATTATATTTCATACGTGGTTTATATGTTAGGGATTTGATAATATTATAAAATATATATTACATAAATTATTTCAACAGAACTAAACAGATAAGGCACACTTTAATAATGATTAAGGCGAAAGAAAAATATTTAAATATAATTGATATAATTGAAATATAATTGAAGTATAATATTTTTTTGTTTAAAATAATGGTATAACTTAAACCTTTAATGTAATTCTAATATTCAGAAATAAAAATTCAAAGAATATTTGAAGTTGCCTCCGAAATTTATTAGGAAATTTTAAAAAAAGAAATAAAATTTTTATATTGAAGATCAAAATATTTTATTTGCATTGAATCGATTTGTTTCTTTCACATTAAATTCTACTTGTTTTGTTACTAGTTTTAAAATTATATATTTAAATTAATTAAGGTTTAAGAAATTCCATGTATATATATATATATTATATTTCATATTTTTATTTACAATAACTTACTGTAACAAAAATATTTTATAATATTGTTGTTAATTTTTAGTATACTGTAAGTTACTAAATATATACGTACATAATTGGATGAGTATTAAATTTTTATATTATTCAAATAATTTTGTATAAATTGGGTATAAATATTTATAATTAAAAATAAGGCACATTTAATTATTTAAAATTGAATTAATTTTGTATATTTACAAAAAAAAATCATTATATTTAATATGTATATGCATGTATATAATAAAAGGGGGATTTAATTTTAAATATATTTTATATAAATTTAAAATGTATATAAAAAATATAGAAAATTTTCAATTAAATACCTAAAATTTGTTTTTATTTAATAAATTCCCATATCATAGTTCCATGATTTTTAATTTAGTCATATTTAATTGCGAATATTGTAGTTAATAAATTAATTTTTAAGTTTTTTTGATTCGAGTTTTCATTTTTTTTATATGAGAGTTGTTTCTGTATTAAATAATATTTTTATGTTGCTGTTATGACAATGATATTTTTTTTATGTTTTATCCTATAAAATGTTCTTTCTAAATATGTTCAATTAGCAAAGGTTTTCTCGTGTATATAACAAAATTGAAATCTTTGTGATGATATTTTTATATATTTATTTATTTATACATTGGTGATTGATTTCACTGAAGTTATTTTGATAAAAAACATTTTAATGAAATATATGAAATTTGAAATGTAATTAAAATTTAAAAAAAAAAATTGTGCTTATAAATAAAATATTTCAAAAATAAGATTGTAAAATTTAAAAAAAAAAAAAATTATTGAAAAAATATTTTCAAAGACAAAAGAAATTTAATTAAAAATATTATTGAAAAATTTTTTTTTAATAAAATAATTGATGATGAATTTTGTGCCACATCTTAAATTAAAATTGGCTGCTTGATTTTTTGTGTGCATTTTTTTTTTTTAATTATTTTATTTATTTTAATGTAACTTGTTTTTTAAGAATCTCTCTCTGTAAAACTTAAAATAAAAAGAATTATTTTGTAAATGATTTTATTTTTATGTATAAAGAAAAGTTATTTTAAAATTATAAAAGAAATTATATAATTGCATTTTAAATATTGTTAATGAAAATTTTAAAATTATTGTTTTTCAAATATTTATTCTTATTATAATAATTCAATTTTATTGTATGCGTGCTTTATTCAAAAAAAAAAATTAAAGTTCAAATTATAATATTGTCTTGTAATATAAAATAAAATTAGTTTTTCGGAAACAATTTAATTATTGATCAAATTTTAAATTATAGTTGAAAGACTACAATTTTTCTTTTTCAAATTAAATATTTATAACATTTAAAAAATAGTATTTGTAATGCATTTTATTAATTAAAAAATAATAATACAAAATTACAATTGAAATTCCGAATAACATTAGTAAGAATAAAAACAATATATGAATTTTGCACACGGCATTTTATATTTTGTGTTTTTATTCGATTAAATTGTTTATTTTTTTATTTATCCGATTAAATTGTTTTCGATTTTTATCCGATAATTAAATTGTTTATTTTTGATTAATAGAAAATGAATATTATGATATTTTTATAATATGTAGTTTTTTGTAAATTTTAATATTATGTGATCAATAAGTTAAAATCTTAAATTTTAAAAACAATTTCAATAAAAAGAGAAAAATTAAAATGTTTAAAATATAAAACATTTCCAAAGTCATGACACATTTTTAAATTCATTAAATAAAATTATTTAAAAAAAATACATGTATAATAATAATAATATAAAAATTATAATTTAAAATTTGTAACATAGTGTTTTTTTAATTCAGTTTTGAAAATATGCTCAATTAATTGAAATTATATATAAATGGTGATATTTTTCACTAATTTTGTATGAAAAATTACAAAATATAAAAATGTTTTTTAATTTTAATAGCACCAATAAAAATTTTCATATTAATGATTTTTTAAAATATCACTTTGCAAATTATATAATAATAACAAAACAATTTAAGAACTACAAAATAAAATTATGTTTGTCAAGATATGTGATTATTATTCTTTATAAAAATTATTTTAATTTATTTATTTAATATTTATTTTTTTTTAGTACATTGTAAGTTTATCATAAATATTATGTATTATTTATTGAAGTGATTAGGAGAATCAAATTTATTTATTTATTTTTTTAAATTCAATTGAGTTTTTAATAAAAAATTTAGAGAAAATTACAAATTTGAAATTAATTAGAAATTTTACGAAGAATTACAAATTTTAAAATTTTCAATATTTTTTGAATTATTTTCTGAATTTTTTTGTATTTCTTTATTAAAAAATTCAATTATTCCATACATTTTCAAATTTTCTTATTCAAAATTTCTTACTTTTATTCTTTTGGAATTTATTCGAGGAAAAATCTCTATATAAATAATAATTTGATTCCTATTAATAAAAATATTTTTTTTATAAAGAATAATATTTTATTTTTTAATATAAATTAAAAAATTTTGAAATGAATTTTTACAAAATGAATGCTAATCTTTAATTATTGTTTTGTAAGTGTTTTTATAAATTTGTGCATTTAAAATTAAATGAAATTTTATATTAATTAATAATTTTATTTTGTAATTTTATACATAATATACATAATTGTATGTATATAAAAAAATGAAATTATTGTCATAGAAATTGTAAAAATTTTAATAAATTTTTTTTTTTTTTTTTACATACATACATATACATAATAATATTTAAGTTCAATTAAATAAAAAATATTATGAAAATAATAATGTAATAATTAAATTTATTAGATATACATTATATAATATGTATGTATATATTATGTTTTTTTATGTAAAATGAAAATTTGTATTTGTATAATATAATTTGTATATTATTTAAATTATTTTAATAATATTATATATTGGACTGTGTGTGAAATGCAAATTTCTCGTATAATAGTGAAAGTATATCGAAATTTCATTTATTTTTATCATAACGCTTAACTGTTATAATTGAATATAACCAAAAAAAAAATAGTATAAATTGAAAATATTTAATTTTAAAATTCTAATAAATTTTTAATTCAATTTAAAATTGCAACAAAAAAAAAAAATTTAATACAAATACCAACCCGAATTGCAAAACGAAAATAACATTTTCCGTTCGAGTAAAAAATTCAAATACATAGAGAATGTTATTAAAAATTTCGAACAGTTTTCTATAGTCAATAACAATAATAAAAATTTCGAACAGTTTATTATAGTCAAATGCAAATCAAATCTATGTTCTTATTGTTCTAGTTTGTGTTTACAATAAAAATCTTATAATAAATTTTATAATGTGAGAATTTAAAAAAAAAAAAAAATTTGTGTTACTTATACACTATACTGTTATACTGTAAAATTATAATTTCATTTCACACATTGTCAACATTTTTCTATTGGTCTATTTTAGAAACACAAAAAATTATAAATAGAACTTAAAATGAAAATTAAACAAGCAATATAATCTGATCTATATTTTGTGTTCTTGTCATAATTTCATATAAAATCAAAAATGAAAAATAAAATTGTTATACATTATATATGTAGCGTGTATTACAATTACACTATTTTTATCTAATATATTGTATTTACTATAAAATAATAAATTTTAACAAACTGTTAATTATTTTTATATATTTATATACTATATAAAAAATGTATGTAAAATTAAAATACAAAAACATAAAAAATTAAAAAATAAAAATACAATGTTTACTTTTTTCGATATTTTCAATAAATTTTTTTTCAGTGTTTTTCTAAATTTTTATCTACAATAATTCTCAAAAATTAAATAAAATTAAAAAAATTAATAATTATATATTTTTATTACAAAAAAAAAATTATTAACTCAAAATTTAAATTAAAAAATAAAATTTTCGTTTTCAAATAAAATATTTTTTTTTGCTACATTTTTTTTTTCCAACTTTAACTGTTATATTAAAATTATTCAATATATTATTTTCTACTATAATAATATCATAAATATTGATGTATATATAATATATTTTATGTATAAGAGAATTTCTAATAATATAAAAATTTTTAATATTAAAAAATTATTTTTTAAATTTATTATCATATTTATTTTATTTTTTAGTATTTATATAATCGTTGACTCACCAACTCCATTAATTCGAATAATATCCGATTGTTGCGGTTGTTGTTGTTGTTGATATTGATATTGATACTGTTGTTGTTGCTGTTGTTGTTGATAACGTTGTGGTGTATTTGTATGTGTTCTAAATGTAGAAACTGGATCATATACAGGTTGTTGTTGTTGTTGTTGATTATTTTGTATAAATTGTTGTTGAAATTGTTGTTGTTGTTGTTGTTGCTGCTGCTGTTGTTGATTAATAATTGTTGCTGATGATGTTGATGGTCCACCACCAGTTGTTGCTGGAGTAAATGTATTTGTTTCTATTGTTGGAGTTTGTGGAGATTCTAATGGCCGTACACCAACAAATGAACTTTCAAGCCAACATTTTCTATTTTTTTAAGGGTTTTTTTTTTTTTTTGGAAGATGGTGAGTTTTGCATTTTATAATTTTTTATTTTTTTGTTGTGTTGTTGTAGAAATGCGTACGGTAATTATTAATTATTTGAAAGAAATTGGAGAGGAAGAGAAAAAAAATTTATTATTAATAAAAATAAATAATGGTAGATTCAAAAAAAATAATATTAATATTTAATTTTAATTAAAATATTAATAAAATATTATAAATGTATACGTAGTAAATGTTAATTAAAAGAAATATTATTTAATAATATTAGTTTTAATATTAAAATTAATTTTTTTTTCTTTCTGTTTTTCAAATATTATAAAATTTAATTTTTTTCATATTTTTTTAATTTCCAGATTATTTTATTTGTATAATTAATTTTAATTTTAAATTTTATTTTTTCAATTATTAATTTTTAGATTCATATACATAGTAGAGATGATTAAAAATTTTCGTGGGTAAATTTTTGCAAAAGATTATTATGGTTTTAATAATGGTTCTTTTTTTTCGAAAAGAGGAATGGTTTGCAAGGTTTATTTTACGACTAAGAAGAGATTAACAATTAATAAAGATTATTTTGTTTAAATTTTAAGTTTTATAGCTTAAAGTTAATGAAAATATCCAAATGAAAAACACCTATGTTAATATATTAGATTTATTATTTACAATAATTAGTTGCAAAATTAATATAATGTACTTAAAATGAAAACCGTGTTAAATCACAAATTTGGTGAAAATTCAGGTAAAATTTCTCATTTAATTCTAATATTAATTATAGAGTTCCTCTTATATAATACATTTAATAAAATATGGGTTATATTATAAGCCCAATGAAGCGAATCAAACGAACACGGCGAATTCAATACAAAAAAAAAAATTGTTTTCATTGTCAAACACAAAATTTTCATTTCACAGTTTTGAAAACCTAAATGTTCGCATAAAATCTGGGCGAATTGCTCGATTATGTCACCAAAACTTGATATTCATCAAATCAAATGTCATTTCGATTCGCCGATCACAATATTTTGTTTCCATTCACCAAGATTGTTGCAAAAAAAAAAATTTCATTCAATAGTTTTGAAAGCCTTTAATTCTCTTAAAATCAAGGCAAATTCAAAAATCTAATAGTACTAAAAGTTCATATTCGCCCGAAGTTTATATTCGCCCATTTCGGATATCGCTTAGTATTTTTAAATTTAAGACTGAAATGACGTCAATTCAATTCACATTATATTTTTTCAAATCCCCTTTAACATTATAGTGATTAATTTTGAAGAATTTTATTATAAAATTTTTATTTTCTAGCCTGTAATGATAACGTTAATTACGTTTTTTTTTGTTGTCTAGAATTTATACATAATTGCATATCGTAAAAGTTAAAGTATATAATTAATAAAATACTTGATTACGTGACGACGTCAATTTTTAATTACAACAAAGTCTGCATTATTTCTTTATAGGTTAATATAGGGAGGCTAAAAAAGTAAACGGAAAAATATAAGAAGCAATCACATTTGAGCTCATATAAATTTTATGGTCAGTCGCGTCTGTCTAGTTCTTATAAACTTTGTATAATTTATATTTTTAATAACACCTTCGGGTTCATTTATTATAAACAAAAATTTGAATATTTTAATAGTTTCGTGTGTGTGTGTGTTTGATATAAAAAATTGCATGCAATTTAGACATACACCCACATATACACATGCATACTACTTTGTTGCTGTGAATTAAAGTCCTTTTGATTTAATATCTTTTTCGTCTAAAATCATTTTTCAAAGAAGGAAAAAATTTTTTTCCATTTTTTTTTCTAATTTTTATGTCTACAATTGCATTCGTTATACATTTTCGTTTTATTGCATAATGAATGGCCTTCTCTATTCCGACCGCCACATAAATAATTAGTTCGACCTTGTTACATACAAATATGTTTTTTTTTTTTGGTTGTTGATGTCTACACGAAATAAAACGCATATTATGTACGAATTAGTATATCTGGAACATATGCAACTTATGCGCGATGTATAGTCATTTAATATGGGCCGGGCCGCAAAAATAATTTTCAGAAAACGAAATGTTATTCAATATACCACAGTGACGACACCGCCATACACATCCTATGCGACTATCGGGCATCGCAACTGTTTTAGTAGAAATTTCTCAAAATATTCGTGAATTTCTGTCCAATTTCCTACATCTACAGTTTTGTGTGAGGGTTGGTGGGGTTACAATAAAACGTGAATGGCTGCAGTGGCTCGAAAGAAATATCGTCGTGCTCTCACTTGTCCGGCTTTCTAGAAATCTACAATCTACAAACTATTCCAGCTAGTACATATTATCTGCCTTTCAATTGGGCCCACAATCTTAAAAAATTTTCATATACCTACTATAACATACAAAATGTGAACATATAGAAAATCAAAGGTGAAAAAAATTACAACCACTATTCATAGACGATAATCGTTCATTCTAGACTGTGTAATTTAATCTAGAAAGTATGCATATTAGAACAAAATAAGAGACATGAATAGTGTTTTGTAAATGTGTGTATGTAAATATGTACATATAATTCTTTGCTAGGTATGCACTGTGTTTAAATTTTTTTTTTGCCCTTGCTAGTTAAAGTCTTTTTTAAAATTTATCAAAACACGCGATTTTACAACAATTTATGCACAAAATAAAATTAAAATCACAGAACTATCAACACGCAGAGGTTGAAATGACATGGGAGTTAAAAAACAACAAAATAAAAAAATCCTTTTTTAGGATATGAAACAAAAGTGTATAGGTTTGTTTTTTTGTTTTAAAAGCAAGAATTGCACAATTTTTTTTACACATGTGATTTTTATTGTATAAAATGTAAAAAAAAAAAAAAAAAACAAATCCTCTGCGAATTTGTAAAAACAAAGACATAAAAAAGGAGCATATAAAAAGGAAAAATACCACAAATATTAAATTTAGATTGGTGTGTGTTATTAATCCTGCTCTGAAGGATATAAAGGATATCAAGAATGATATAAGAGAACTATAAATATAAAAAAAAAATCCTTAAGAGATTTTCTGTTTCTTACTTTTTTTTTTTGTTGAAAATTTTCATTTGAATTGGTTTTCGTGTGGGCAATTTTAAATCTCTTTTCAGATCTGTTTAACTATAGTAATAAAAGTCAGATTTTGATCAATTTTCAATTTACATTAGGAGAACAGTAGATTTCGACTCTAGTAATTTCTGTCCTCTCAGTGAAAATTTTTTAAATCATCAGATTTCTCAATTGTTCACATATCCGGTGTCCGAATATTTGAATAAGAACACATACACGAACTTAATTACCGAACTCAGATTTTGAATCGGCTAGTCATATTAATTTTGGAGCTACATTTAGGTATTGAATTACCCGAAGCGTAAGGAATTTCTTTTACGAATATTTGTACTGATTACCTTAACGATTACGCTATTGAAAACGTAAGCGAAAAGGTAATGAAATTTGTGAATTATAAACAAAAAAATTAGACAGAATAAGAATATTGCCCACTATATTTACGAGTAGAATAATTAATTGAGAGTAATAAAATAAGAAGAGTTTTCCTACGTTAACTAGAAGACTATTTTATCTACATAATTACGTAATTTTTATTGAAACGATAAGGAATCAATTACTTTCTATACAATTACATTGTTTTACTCTCTTTTCTTTCATATGTATTTTTTATGTTTTATGTGTGTATAAAATTGTTCATAAATCCTAAATTAAATTACATATTTGTTTTCCGTTGTACATGATTTATGAAATAGGATCAACCTTAAACAGTTTTTATTTTTCTTTGTTTTTATTACAAAATGAGACAAAATAAAGGTAAAGACAGAAAAAAAAAAGGAATCAGTTAATAAAGAGTTTTCGGCAAATATTCAAAAAATTTCGTAAAAAATATGGCTATTAATTTCAATCTGTCTGTTCATCTAATGTCAGCCTGTTTCCACAATTTCTAAACAATTCACAAAAGTAAAAGGAAATTTTGTAAACATATACAGAACGGTTACAAATTACTTTTTCTATCAACTAATGCGAAACTATCGAATTTACGTTCCCTTTTTTTTGAAACCAGTTTTTCAATCGAACTTCTATAAAAAAAAAAAAAACGCAATATAACAGTAATCACTCTCTTACATGCTTATGTTGCATTTCTATATAGATCATTCTTATTACTTAGAGAGCTATAAGTTGTTAAGGTAGAAATGTGATGTTTTACAGAGCACATAGTTTGATTGACTACATTTTTTTCCCCTATTTGTCTCTCTCTTAACATTTTGTTTAAATAATATTTTTCGTTTCATTCATTTATATGACAGAATGTGTAAACATGTTATACATATTGTAAAATTATTTTGTTATAAAAATAAAAGAATATACTCATATACACATACAAATATAAATAAGATAAAATAAAAGAGATTTGAATTTTGATTAGTTTATTTTATATTGGAAATTGTGTTACGAATATAAAAATAGTTACTGTTATATAATATTAGTATAATTGTACATATATACTTTAGTTTTTATTAGAATTTTTATTATATATTTTCAGTAATATTTGTATATACTTTCCTAAATACATAATTAGGAAATTAAAATTTTCCGTGTAATTTTCATGATATTTTTATATTAGTTTTTTTTTTTATATGTGTATAACAAAATAATTTAATGTGTTTAAGCTAAACTTAATTAAATTTAGCCCTTGGCATATCATGGATCCTTTGAAAAAGAAGAAAGTAAAAATTATGATTATAGAATAACAAAGTGAAAATTCCCATATTTTGGGTTTTTTTGATCACATATTCTCATTAATAACATAAAATTCCCCAAGAAGTGGAAAGTTCCCAAGATCTGACTAAAATTCTTCTAAAACGTATAAGTAATTCTATTCTCATAACTCTTCTAAAACGTACTATTTCTGGCCTCTTTAAGATGGGAGGAATAGAAAAGAACAACATCTCAAATATGCAAGTGTACAAAAAATACAATTAATCGGCTCATATCGTTAAAAAAATAACGAGAGACAATATTATTCAAATTATGAGCGACTAGCAAGTTTTGTCAACTAAAATAGAGAAAACCAGATTTTTTGTATAACAGAAACGCCTGCAAAGTAAACAAAACAAAGTTTTAACTCTTTTCGATTTTTTCAATTTGTTCTAATCAAATTAATTTCGAGAGACAATCATTATTTTGGATTAAACTGTTATACTGAGCATATACTGTTATATAGTTCAATAAAACTATAATTATATAAAATATTTATTACTTATTTTAAATAAAATTCAATATTTTTATTAATTTAATTTTAATATTTAATTTTTTTTTCATTACAAAAGCGTGTTTTTTATATTTAGAAAATATTTTCAATTCAACTATATGCGTGATTTTATTAACAGTTTCTTTCTAGCTAGAGAGCAGTGTCTGTTTTTATTTTCTAAAAAATTTCTTTATAAAAAATAAATATATATTTTTTTTTTTGGTGCGTTACTTTACGGCCAAAGCTTGAAGCATTACTTATTTTATGTACTTTTTTAAAATTATGTAAATTATATTTTAATTAATATTAATTATAAATTTATGTGTAAGTTAATAACATATTGTATGTGTGTTAATTAAACAGTTCTGTAAGCAATATTGTATAACTTCCTTAACTATTTTATGTAAGCTCTTTTTACTTTCTTTTTGTTTTTGTAAAATTTTTGAATTAACTTGTTAGTATATTAAAAAGTTTTAATTATATTTTAGTGAAAATTTTATATTACATTCCATTCCCGTGTTTTATATTTATAATATAGATATAAAAAGAAAACAAAAATAATAAAAAAAACTACGCAAATTATTATCATGTAAAAAGTAATAAAAAAATGTAATTGTAGGTGTTAAAATCAAAAACTTTATTACTTCCTTAATAAAAATGAGAAAAATTAACTCACGAAACTGAATGAGTATAATTTGCTATTTGAGTGAGAAGAATTTTTTTTTATTACAAGCCTCTCTTTTTTTATTACGAACCTCCTGAGTACATGTATATATATACTTTGGTTTTAAAAGTGATAAGTTCATTGGATATTTCAAAAAGCTCACTAATATTTCAAGAAAAAAATGAAAATTCTCACTTGAAAATGACAACAAATACTCATTAATTAATGCTCAAAATTAAATTAAAACTCAAAATAGATGAGTAGGAAAATTATTATAATTGTTAGCAACATTAAATTTTTTTTATAACAAATGTCATTTATGTCAAACATTTCAACGATAATAATATTACTTTCCAAAATACACAAATGATTTTTTGTTGCAGCGACATAACTCAATTGTTGTACTTCAAAACGACGACGACATGTAGCGCAGTCCACACTGCACCGATTTTGAATGCAAATTTGAATTTATGTAATTTATTAAGACATCTTAAGAGTGGAGACTGGAGAGTCTCCAATATTTGACATAACAAAAATTAACGAATTATCACGAAATTTTATAAATACTTCAGTGACAATAGCAAGACTCACGACTAAATTTTTTATTTTCTATTTTCTGTCAAAGTGTTTGAAGTTAACAAATTTTGATTTTAACTCTTACAATTAATATTTTTTAATAGTTTTAGATAATAAAATTAAAATTAGAGAAATTTTAAAAGCTATTTTAAAAAACTTTATTTGTTTTCTTGTTAAATTAAAAAAGAAAAAATATTTGCTCTTTTTAAATATTTTTTATAATTGATTAGTCCATTTGTTTCTTTAAAAGAATCATTGGAAAAAAAAAACAAAAGCAACACTCCCAAAACAACAAACATATTAATATAGAAAAAAAAAAAAAAAAAGGAAATTAATAATGAAAAATTATTCATTTTATTTTAAGAAGTTAAATTAATGGTATTTTTTGTTTGTAAATTCTCTTACCTATAAAGTCATAAGAAAAATTTGCAAAATGGCAAAATTAATTTTTTTTTTGAGTAAAATTCTCTATTTTTTTAATGTACTTGTTATTTGCTCTCTTGATTTTCTTGTTTCCATGTTTTAATTTTTTTTTTTTTTGATTTTTAAATATAAAATTAATTAATTTAAAATTTGGAAATAGAAGCGCAAAAAAAAAAAAAATCCCCACAAAATTGAAAAATTCTAAATTTATTAATTAAATTAAATTGATCCATGTTTCTCCATTTTCGTATAAAATTAATTAAAAATAAACACATACACAATATTTATAAATAAGGAGTTTTTTTTTTTTATAATTTTTTTATTTAAATTAAAATTTAGTTTATTTCATTTTTATATTTTTTTTCTTTTTTAATTTTAATAATGTATAAATAGAAAAAAAAAATGTGGTGTAGCTTTGTAGCGTAGCAAATTAACAGCAGCTCTCTCTCTCTCTATATATATATATTTATAATAAATTTTAACTGTTTAACTCAAAACAAATATTGAGTAATTTATTACTCGTTGCTGTTTTATAGGACTAATGTTCGCAACAAACTGCTATCAACATATTTATTTTGTATCACAACAATATTTATAAATATAATATTATGTTTTATAATTATTTTATTTTTATAATTTTGTTCATTTAATTTTTACTATTAAAATAATAAATTTTATGTTCATAGGTGTGAGTTCATTGAAAATTTAAAATTAATTTTTTTTTTTTTAATTTATTTCATTAAATATGGATGTTCTTACTTAATGAATTCGAGTTTTTTTTTGTTTTACTTTAATGCTTTCTTATAATTTCTGTTCATTTTTTTCTTTTTAAATTTAATATTTTTTTTCAATATTTTATTAATTAAATTTAAAATTCCTACCTAGAATTAGGGCTAGTTGATCGACTTCTTGTTGCTTGTACATTTGGTTGCCTATTTTGATCATTAAAATGATGTACAATAGCTGATGTAACTTCTTTTATTGATGATTGTATTTCAGGTGTTACATCTACTTGATCGTTTTTCGGTGGTTTTGATGATAATAATGATGAAGCAAGTCTATATTTTTTGTTTGTGTTTTTGTTTCGATTTTTTTTTTTTGTATATAAAATAAAAAATAAATTTTTATTTTATTAATATGATTAAGAGTACATTGATTTGTAAAATTATTTATTACTATTAAAATTAATAATTTAGTTAAGAGTAATATTGAAAAATTTCGAAGAAATATGGAGCTTATACATTTTGGAGTCTATAACACTTAAATGGGGAGTACGGTGGAATTAATTGAGACTAACTTAAATTGAAAATAGAGTTTAAGTTTTATTTGAAAAAGAGAACATTCGAATGTTTACGATTAGATTTATTGAATATCTTTATAAGATCTAATTTTTATTTGAATTCTGAGGCAATAAAATATGTATAATTTAAATTTAAATTAAGAAGTTAAAAGCTACTATAGCAATCACACTACATTATCTTAAATAAAAAAAAATTATAAGCCAAAACATTCCTTTCATTTTAAACCCTTTATCAAATTATATATCCAAAACCTTTTTTATACCATTTATACTGATAATTAAAACCCATTCTATTTTCGCTTATAAAAAAAAAATGTACTATTCCATCTTATTAAAGCATATAAAAAAAAAAATTTCGTTTTTTACCTTTCATGTGGTGTTCTTGGTTGATTAATTTTCTCTTGACTTCTCCATCCCATATATGGTTGTCTAAATGAACTACGTATTATTGATGATGCACCACTACCTCCGCCACCAGTTCCAACACCACCACCACCAACAACACCACAACCAACTGAACTGAAACTAGAATTAATTGGTCCACCACGACTAAATGAACCACGTTGTGATACACTAGGTGAAGTTTGTGATGAATTTAAATATGATGTTGACCATCTTGAAAAACCACCACTAACTGGTATTTGTCCACCAACTGTTGTACATCCACCAGTTGTTGTACCATGATGACTATGTGCTGATGGACTTAATAATAATGGACTACGATCTGATCTTTGTGAACCTAATGAACTAAGTGAAGTTGTTTTTGAATTTAAACCAACCCATCGTCCAGAATCGGAAGCACGTTTTCTTGTAAAACTACCTGGTTTATAACCACTTGTTTGTTGATTACCAGTTTCAGTTCCAGTTTTTGATGTTGAACTATATGCACGATACCAATCTGGTATATTAAGACGTTGTAGTGATGCTTGAACCCTTAATTGATGTTCACTTAATGCAGCTGTACTATCATGGGATTTCTGAAGTTCGTTTTCAGGTGGCTACAAAAGAAATAAAAAAAAAGTGGAGATTATTAATTAAATTGTTTTGTTAAAAGTATTGTGTTAATTAAAACAATTTTAAATTGAATATAAAATTTATCAAATAATTATTTTTGAACTTATAAAATAATAAAACCTGTAAATTTACTCAGCATGGTTACAAGAACTTTCAAATTTTCAGTAAAATTTCAGGGAAATGAACAGGCAAATATTATTGAAGAGTACAGTCCCTTAAAATTTAAAAATAAAGAACAATAATTTTATTTTGTAATTAAAAAATATTTTTATTATTAACATTTTATAATAAAATAATTGCAAACTTTAGGAAAAAATATTACATTTAAAAAATTCTTTTAATTTAAATAAATTTATGTAGATTAAATCTTGATAGGAAAAAATTATTACAATAAAAGTTAATTTTATAATTTTATTTTTTATAAAAATCTTTTAAATTTCATTTTCGATTATAATTTGTATAATTTTATTAATTTGTGTTATACAACTTAAAAGGCAAAGATCTGCATGTTTACATAAAGCATAAATAAAACTTTCCAATTGCATTCGACTACAATTTACATAACCATCGGATGATGCAATAAATTCAATTGCTTTAACCATATTTTGTAAACGTTTTAAATGCTCATATGGTGTATTTGCTTGTGATAAATTTGGAAATTTACAAGAATATGATTTAAATTTTTTATTTCTTAATTGTTTCTGTAATTTTAATATTTCTTTTCTTTGTTCCATTAATCGGTTTAAAGCTTCACTTGGCATTTTACCAATTTTAATATTATTAATATTTTCATTATCATTAATATTATTCTCTTGTTCATCTTGTTTTAAAGTCTCATCTAATGGTTTTGTTATATTATCGATAACTTCTCCAGTACTTTTTTGAATCCATGCAAATAAATTAACTAATGGATCACCATCTTTATCAAAATTTAATGGTTCATCATCTAATTCTGATGTTAAAACTTCACCACTATCTGGTGAAACTGTTTCTGAACATGGTCCATCATCTATACTACTACTGCATGCACGGGAACGATATTCATAATTTGTTTTATTATTTGTTGTTTGTGTTTTTTGTTTAAAAATATTTTGTATTTCACGATGATTATCACTATTATCAGATTCAAAATCAGATGGTGCTAAATCTGATGTTTTACTATACATTGAATTTCTATTTAATGATAATTCAGTTTGATTTAAATTAAATGATTTCTTATTTGTTGAATGTGCTGTTGATGAAAATTCAATATTATCGATACCAAAACGTAATTCAGAGCCAGTTAAAAGTTGAAATGCTTGATGTATTTGTTGTCCTCGAATATATTTACCCTTAAATGATGTAATATAATTGTTAGCTGCAAACCAAAATTTCGAATATTTTTCCGATTTATTTACTGGTAAATTTAATTTTTGTTTTGAAAAATATGGAACTGAATCGACACCAAAATTTATTTTAGCATTTTTATTAGCTTCTTGTACGAATGCATTCATATTCTTTAATAATTCAGTTGGTTCAATATAAAATATTGGAAATCTTAAAATACAATTCTTTGATATAATCCAATATTTACTAAAATCACTATTAAGTTCATTAAATTCGGTAGTTGAAGTATTTGATTTGCAATTATTATCTAATTTTTTTACATTTTCATCTTTGTACAGTTGTGATTTTGGTGTATTGAATTTATCATTTGATAGTAAATTTGTTTCTGCTGGTGTTTTAACTGGTGTACTAACCGATGTTGGAGACGATTTATTTAAAATCTTTTTCGGTGTTTTACGATATTTAATTACTGGTTTACTTTGATTTTCTGCCATACTATCACTATCACTGAATCGTACTTCTTTTGAATTTGCAGTATGATTATTGATGTATTCAACATCAATTTGAATATCCTTTTCAAGATTATTAGTTGAAGTATTTTTCAAAACATTATTATAGCTTTTCTCATTAAAAGTTTTATTAGCAAATACACTTGAGAATTCATTATCAAATGATAATGTATTATCAATTAAATTTTGACAACTTTGATTACTTTGCGAACGTATCGATTTCGTATATGGTGATGCTGGTATATCGCCTGCAGTTGTTGATAATGTATTGACAAAATTTGATTGATGGTGTTCTAAAGATGGAATATGTGACCATGATCTTGATATAGATGAAGAATCTTTTAAATTATTATATTTAAAACTATCAACATTCCAATTTTCACCATCATTAATTAAAGATGGTGAAGGACTTGATAAAACTGTCAGAACATATGCTTTTTTAAATTGTTCAATAGACTGACATTTCTTTAAAAGTTTTGTATCAACTTCAAATAAACTACTTAATTGATCATTTTTTATATCAATTTGATTTATCTTGTTATTGTAACGTGAATTTACTGGAGCGCCAATTATAAAACTACGACGTCTTGGATTATCATTGTCACTATCAAATAATGGTCCTTTAGAGAATATTGATGAAGTTATAGAATAACGTCCATCATCTTCGGAACTAGGTAACTGATTTGGATTCTCTTCTGGAATTTGCAGTGGAAGTGGTGGTAGAAATGGTGGCGGTGGTGGTGTACATTTCTCAATAATAGAATCATCTGTTTTCCAACGCAAATTACGGCGAAGTGATAGCTTCTTTGGACTGTCATCTGTATAATTTAACATGTTACTTTCTGCATACTAAAATCAAAATACATATACAAATTAGAATTAAACAATCACTAAAATTATATTATTATATATTTAAAACACTTACCTTTTCTACTGCATAGCTTTTTGGACTTTTTTTAGATTTCTTTTCATCAGTTTTCGTAATTTCATTGGCACAATAAGTAAGATTTTTAAAACTTCCTTTATTCTTCGGTGTACTTTGATTTGTATTATCAAGATTATAATTTGTTAACCATTCATAGAACATACTTTCAAGTTGTTGATTTACAAATATACCAGAACGTTCTAGAATTGTTCGGCGAATTTTTTTCGGTGGTCCATAAATATCAAATGGAATACAACTACACATTGATGTATTATGTCTTTTAGGACTGTTTTCTTTTTCGATAGAATTAATTAATAGTTCACTAAAAGCTTCATTATCCATACCAGCAATTGTAGAATCACCAAATGGTTCAACTAAAGTATCTGCAGCTGCCATTAATGCACTCTTATGTAATGAACTATTATTTATTTGTGATTCTGTTAATGAATCAATAACAGTATCTTCAATAGCATATTTAATTTGATGTGTTGAATTGATTGCTTGTAATTGTGGTAAAAATGAACTGTCAAATTGTAATGAAATTGAATCTCTCAATGTGTTATTGTGTTTTGTTTGTATTGGTGATGGTTTTAAATGTACTACAATACTGCTTATATGTGTGTTTTCATTTTTAATTTTACTTGTATCATTTGTTTCATCATCATTTTTAAATTGATCTTTGGGTTCATTCAATTTTGCCTTTAAATCAGTAATAATTTTATTAATATTTTTAATAGCTTCATGATTTTTTGGTGATTTTTGATTAGATTTTGATTCAGCATCTTGTGGTATGTTTTGATTATTTTTAGAGAAATTCTTTTTTAATAAAATTCGATTATTTTTAACTTCATCTACGAATTGATTGAATAATGCAATTTTATCTTTAACTGATAATTTCGAGATAAATTCGTCATGTATTAGACAACCTGTTGTATCTAATTTTTGTTTTGTTGAATTTTGTGATTTATTTTCTTTTGTATCAACATTTTGTCTAGCAACATTTTTGTTAATTGATTCTGCCACCTTAAATTTATTTTTACTATTATTGTCACTTTTATCAATCATCTTAACTTCTGTTTCATTAGCTTCGAATATTTTATTTGGACTTTTAGAATTAATAACTTTAGTTTCGAAATTTGTAAAATCTTCTTTTGCAATAGCATTTTTTAATTTCTTAAGTTCTTCAATACATTTCAAATATGGTTGTGGTAAATCGACTTTTGTCGTAGCACATTTTGATGGTGTTATTTCTTGTGATGTATTATGACTTTTTGAATTCGTAGGTGACTGTATATTAGCATATTTTGTATATGGTGGTAAAATTTCTGGATTATTACATAATTTTTCAATTTTTGGACTTAATTTTTTAGTTTTAATATGTAGAGATGAATTTAAGAATTCATTGGAACAACGTTTTTCAACACTTTTAATAATATCAGCAACTTTTGGAATTTTTTCCACATCAATTGATGTATTTTGTTTTTTATCTTTATGTTTTTGTTGTTCAATATTTTCTGGTAATTTTTCACCATTAAAAATACTTAATTTACTACCAAAATCAATTTTATCTAAACATTTTGATCTTGGTCTTGGTTTAGTATTTGATTTTTCTCTCATAAATATTGTTCTTTTCATAGGAACTGGTGCTGTTATTTCTTCCTTTTGTTCTTGTTGCTCTTCTTTTGGTGGATCATTTTGAGTAAATCGATTTGTAACATAAACTGCTGGTTGTTTTCTTATTGATTCTTCATCATTACATGAATCAATTTGTGGCATATGAATTTTTTGTAATATTAAATTTTTTATTTTATCAACTTTTGATAATTTATTGGATTTTTGAATTTTCAATGGACTTAATTTATTATCGAATAATTGTACTATATCACGAATTTTTGGACTTATATTCTTCTTCAATGAATTTAAATCATCTTTTGACATTTCTTTATATTCTTCATAAGAATTTCGTGTTGGATTAATGACTTGTGTTTGACGTCTCATACGTCTCGGTTTTGTTGGTGGACCTGTACGTAAATACATATTTTTATCATCTGATGATGATGATGATGACATTAATGGTTTTGTTGATGATTGCTGTTGATGTTGTTGTTGTGTTGTTGATGCTACTGTTTGCGGTAGTGATTTTGTTTTTGTTAATTCATATGTTGATTTTATTGGTGATATAGATGGCATATTTTTATTATCAAATTCTGATAATGGTAATGAT